TTCATTTTTTTGAAAATTTTGGCCCGTTTGACCTTGAAATAAAGGTCAAAGGTCAAATCCAAGGGCATATTTGAAATCTACACATATGACTTTTGGAAAGCTGTCTGTAGAAATTTTTCCCATAACTCCTTCCTTAGGGTAGATAATTAGCATTTAATTTTGCCATTTTTAGACAAGGGTGCATTGCAATGAGTGCCACACCTAGACCCCAATACCGACAAAGCCCAAATTTTACGTGGAATGAGTTGAGATTATAGGTGACCTAAATCCAAGAGATGGGTACAGGGGCCCTTACCGTCTAGGAGGAGAAGCGGTAACGGTGACTTGGCGGCGGAGCCGCAGGAGCCGGCGGAGCTGCAGGAGCCGGCGGAGCCGCAGGAGCCGGCGGAACATACGGGTCGGGACTAAAACCATGGGTACCGCCAGCGCCTACGCTGGTGGTACAATTAAATCCTGGAAGGTTTCCAAAAAATTTGGAGTGACCTAGCTGCCCTACTGCCACCTACTTCATATCAGTATTGTTTGCAGGGCTGTCAACTCTGTGTACATTTACATGTATTCTACATATCATATAGGACTCGCCCTTATTGTTTACACAGGTTATTCAATTGATAATACAACATTAAAACAGTAGATCTATTCATCTGGAGTACTAACTGTCATGTTGGCAACTTTTCGCCTGCATACAATGTTTACAGCTGATAACTTATCAAAAGCAATGCAGAATTCGTATTCAATCAGATATATTCTGTTCCTACCAAATGCTGGAATTCAGACAGATGTTTTTGTACTTACCCTTCCATTGATTTCCATGTTGTAGAACTTTTGCACAAGATTGAGATAACTGGATAAATAATATATATATCTTAGTCACCGACTCCTATATATCATTATCAGGTTTTCCAATAAAACCAACATGTAAAACAATGCACTGGACCATCCTAGCTTCACAACTTCTTCATCTATTATTATATCAACAGCTCTTTCAATGGTACACATACTTTCCACTACTAAAGAGGTTTACTGGTTCAATACTATCAATATCAAGAAGGAATCCAACTTGCACTTTCCCACAGCAATACTACAAATAAGGGATTACTACAGTATAGTTTGAAACAAACTGCACAAATATATCGACTTGAGATACAATTCTTGTAACAGATGTTTCAAAGACGTGATTATTTCTATAAGAAACCCTTTNCAGCGCCTACGCTGGTGGTACAATTAAATCCTGGAAGGTTTCCAAAAAATTTGGAGTGACCTAGCTGCCCTACTGCCACCTACTTCATATCAGTATTGTTTGCAGGGCTGTCAACTCTGTGTACATTTACATGTATTCTACATATCATATAGGACTCGCCCTTATTGTTTACACAGGTTATTCAATTGATAATACAACATTAAAACAGTAGATCTATTCATCTGGAGTACTAACTGTCATGTTGGCAACTTTTCGCCTGCATACAATGTTTACAGCTGATAACTTATCAAAAGCAATGCAGAATTCGTATTCAATCAGATATATTCTGTTCCTACCAAATGCTGGAATTCAGACAGATGTTTTTGTACTTACCCTTCCATTGATTTCCATGTTGTAGAACTTTTGCACAAGATTGAGATAACTGGATAAATAATATATATATCTTAGTCACCGACTCCTATATATCATTATCAGGTTTTCCAATAAAACCAACATGTAAAACAATGCACTGGACCATCCTAGCTTCACAACTTCTTCATCTATTATTATATCAACAGCTCTTTCAATGGTACACATACTTTCCACTACTAAAGAGGTTTACTGGTTCAATACTATCAATATCAAGAAGGAATCCAACTTGCACTTTCCCACAGCAATACTACAAATAAGGGATTACTACAGTATAGTTTGAAACAAACTGCACAAATATATCGACTTGAGATACAATTCTTGTAACAGATGTTTCAAAGACGTGATTATTTCTATAAGAAACCCTTTCTTGCCCTTTCCTTCATATAATGGATTATTAACAGCAAACTTCACCAACAGCTAAATAAGAACTGATTGTGTTTTTCATAATCATTGTCACACCAACTGCAATTCTGAAGCACACCCAAGCACAATGGGTGATCAAAATGTATACATTTATTCCAAAATATGTTTGAATGAATTATTTTAGAATACTATGAGTCATGCATTCCAAGCACCCATTCCTCACAGTGTTCATAGATTAACACAACCTGAACACCAGACTTTCTACAGTAAAAAAAAAAAAATTGCCCATCTACTTTTTCTTTGGCACATGCAATTCCATTAGCAAATTCTTCAGCAGAGGGAAAAAAAACTGGCAGTATGATATCAGTTTGAAGAAAACCATACATGTTTAGAACATGTGGGTAATTTAGGAAGATACTTGGCAACAGGAAATGAGTCTGCGCTAAGTTATCAAACTCAACGCCTCTAAACTTCCTGTCCTTAGACAGGCCACAGGATAGACTTTTGTCATCTCCCATTTCTTTTCAAAGCTTACCTGTGTTTCTATACCAAAGGCAAGATACATGCTTTGAAACAGGATAATTAATAATATACATAACAATGTGCATGAAGATTGAATTTTTTCTCTTCTCTTGAAAAGTGGTCTGAGTGAAGACACAGCAATGATAGTGATCTATAAAAATGGTACTGATGAGAACTGAAACACATTATTATGTACACTTTACCGGACTTTAAAACTACAAAATAAATAAAATAAATAAATTCATTTATTAAGACTAAGCATTCTGGTAACACTATTTAACACAAAGAACAAACTATGTACTTACAGTAAAGTTAGGACTGGTAAGTATCTGACGAAGTTCTTCCGTCTCTTTGGCCGTGATCGGCGAGTGTTCTTGAACAGCATCCAGAACCTGAAAGTAGGAACATTTTTATTGGATAATAGTTTCTATCTAAAAAAAAAAAAACTGTAACTTGCCACATGACTTCAATGTATAAGGACCAGGTAAGGAAGGAACATGCTTACATAAGACTGGGAGTAGTTCCCCAAACTGCCAGCTTTAATACCATTCCTCTCCTTCTTTTATTTCTAAATAACATCAGGTTTGGAGCAAGTTCTTCAATTTCTTTTCTCTTTTGAAAAAACAAAAGCATCAATTTAGCATCCAAACCCCATTTTAAGTACTATTTATTTATTTATTGTAGCTGTTCAATAATTATGAACAGAATTTCATAACTCAATATTTTTCCTCTCCTACCTCAATGATAACTGTCTAGGGTGACTTTTTCAAAGTTCTAAGGATAAAGAGAAAGGGGCCATGACAGAGCATTCCTAAGAATATTTTTTGAAGAATTCTTATCAGGAAATTCCTTTCTAAAATCTGTATCAAAGTGAAAGGTGGTGAACCTCCTAAAAAGCCCTGTTTGTCATCTAAATGGCATGTGAACTTCTTTTAGCACAGATTTGAGTGCAGCTTAAGGTGGGAATAAAATATACTGAAGGAAATCTCCGATTTCTTACAGGCACTTCTGTAACTATTTAATTAGATTAATGTGAGAACTGTTTGCGAGACTAAATTTGGTGAAAACATCAGCAACTCTCTCTCTATGAAACAGAATGCTTTGCAATGTTGATGCACACTTTGCCCTGATTTAACTGAAACAATGGGTGCAGTTTTTTACATATATCTTTTAATAAAACAGCAATATTGCATTGCATCATTTAGTGAAATATTAACATAAGACCATCATAGGAATCCCTCCCCCCACCCCCCCCCCCCAAAAAAAAGGAGGAACACATCATTTCTTGGTTGATAGGTAGTCAATAATATAATAATATCATATAATAATATCATGTTCAAAGTATAACCCAAAACAACTCCTGGAGCATACACCATTTAGGTCAGACACCTGAAATGTCATGACCCCATTAATGCAGCACCTGCACTCACCTCTCTGGCTCTAACCACCGAGTCTGATGGCGGAGGCCTCGTGGGACTGAGCGACCGTGTGTTAATTCTGTCATAGAGCTGGTAAAAGAAACAAAGAAAAGGTGTAATAATTTGAAGAAGATCATCAGTCAATAAAATCATTTATTTCAGCTTGAAAGTGTTTTTTAGTATCTAATATGTGAACACATGGCATAACCCTGAGAATCATCCATCTTTTCTCATACAGGTTTCACATACTTTCACATTCGATCAGACATATTTCATGACACATAACAGATCATGACATTGCATGACATAAGATGACATGACACCATGACATGACATAAGATAACATGACATTGCATAACATGACAAAATAGCAACACATTTCATAATAACACATTATTAATACAAATAAGGTCAGCAAAAAGGAAAAGGTGTAGAATAATGAGATTGAACCAGGTCCATAAGTGTGCAAACACCATCAAAAACCATCAGGTCTGTGCCATCAGCTGTGTGATCTAAAAATATGAAAAATACTAAAATACTACTACTGGAATAATCATAAAGCACCTGTGGTTCACACCCACTCTTCATTTCTGTACAGCCACAATCAGCCCAGCATGTGGGATTACACTCTCGTATATGACACACACCAGAAGCTCCTTAGTTCATAATTCACTTGTTGGGGGTCTTTCTGTTGAATCTGTTTGTAGAAAATGACACAAATGTATGCCTTTCCTATGGCAAAACTTATGTACACACTTTTCTCTAAGAAAACAACATTCACTAGTACAGCATCTTGAATTAGATTATATTATCCTTATCTGTCTATCACAACAAAATCATCCTTATTCATAAAAGTCGTGAGAATTTTTGTTAAAGAAAGTGCAAGCTTTATCCAATTTAGTTTATAAAGAATAACATAGTTCCCCAATGAGGACAATATTAGACTTTTATTTCTCTTGATACAACCAGGTATGGCTACTTCCAGACCATAGCAGTACACATAATTTTGAGGAATCACAACTGTTTTGACAACAAATATACGGACATCTCCAGGTGGTTACATACTACTATATACTCTATACCTGGAAAAATATGAAACACATTAACTACTCTCTCTCTCTCTCTCTATCTCTCTCTTTCTCTCTCAATTTTCTTAATTCTCTCTCTCTCTCTCTCTCTCTCCATTTTATTAATTCTCTCTCTCTTTCCATTTTCTTAACTCCCTCTCTCTCTTTTTCTCTTTCTCTCTCTCTCCATTTTCTTAACTCCCTCTCTCTCTCTCAATATTTTCTCAACTCCCTCTCTCTCTCTCTCTCCATTTTTTTCTCTTTTGTCCCTCCCCCCCCTCAATAAAAACCATCAAATCTACCATCAAATGTAATCAACTCTCTGCAGTGTTTCAGTCATGTTAAATACCATGTCATAACTCATCTGTCACACAACACTGACAGATTGGCAAGACGCTTGACAGAATCATCCTCTGCGGAAATGGCTCAAATCTCAAAAGACGGCATTAAGCCCCCGATTGCAGTGTTTCCAGGCAATTGGCATTAATCCAAGCAGAAATTTGAGATGATGGGAGGTTATGATAGGTTTTTTAGCTTTTCATCGCAGCTTTTCATCGCATCAGTTTTGGTGTAACTGTATACATGCTATTACTGGTAGATAAATAGGGTAGTAATAAATCAAGATGTAATCTAATTCAGTCACAAAATGTTAGATATCTAAAGAACATATAAATGTCTGTAATGAGAAAAAAAAAAAGACTTTCTATCCAGATCGTGAAATTGAGATCCCATTCAGCTAAGTTAGATGTCAGAAACATGCACGAAAATTCTGATCTATCTAATGTTACGCACATATACACAGGCTAATTATGAACAAAACGTCATAGCAATTAATATAGAATAAACAGGATACATGCACTTTTCCACAAAAAAAAAAAAAAAAAAAAAAAAGGGTCTTATCAATTACTAATTCAATGCAATATTACCTGCTCAAAGCCAAACGTGGCCACAGGATCGGGTCTCCTGATTACATGATCTGCCACATGCAAAATATGCATAGACGCCTGAGAAGGCACAAAGGTCCCCACGCTAAACTTCTCCGTGAAGCTGACTGATTTCTTCGGCATCATGCCGCGGGTTATTCTCTCTAAGCTTGGGGACTTCATGCAAGTGGTAATACACGGGGGGTAGGGTTCGTCATAGCTCTTAGATTTGGGAGGCATGACTTTTTTGATGTTATGCAAGTTAAAAGCAGTGCTTGCTCGGGAAATTGGGGGCGTGACACAGTTTCTCGTGTCGTAAAAGCTAACTGAGCGTTTAGTTGTGCACACTCCACGATCCACTTTTCGCCTGATCCAGATCGGATCAGGGTTTACCGTTACCGTGTCCTGGTCCTCCGTCTGTGTTGAACAGCTGACCATCTTTCGATGTGAGACAGGTGGACTTGAGTACACTGAACCGGGTTCAGAGATACCGCCAATTTGTTTCTCAAATTCTGGGAAAATCTGACTCCTAGGAATTAGAATCACTTTGGGTGACTGACAGGTGCCACTCGGTTTCCTTGATGGTGGTACACCAGCATCACCATCATCAGAAATGTTATCTGACTTATGTGTGTGCACACTGCCATTACAGGACTTATTATCTACATAATCATGCTCATCACAGTGACACAAAGCACAGCTTAAACGCTGAAGCTCTCCTTTCTCATTAAAGTAAAAGTCATCCGGAAGATACGAGAGTACACCTAACTCGTCCTCTGGCTCTAACAGTGTTTGACTTGTTTGAGTCTCTTTTGCGGGACAACTGGCTGGTCGCCTTGGAAGACCACGGATATCGTACTGCGAAGGGTTAGCCATTTTATAACTGTGAGTATTCTCCTTCCACCGTTGAAGCCTTGGCGAAGTTGACCTTGACCTGAAAATTCCGTTCGTATCGCCACTTTTTTTCAATGTCCAAGGTGATGAGGTTTCATCACCAACATCACCATTATCTGAGAGCCCTTTGCGCTTGGGTTTAAACGTGGGAAACTCCTGCAAGGTCCGAGAGCTGACTTTCTCATCTGCTGAAACTGACCGATACTTAGGAGAGGCGCTCCTTTCTCTGTCGTTAGCAAATCCTATTCTCACGTCCCACTGGACGCCAAAACTATTAGGACGTTTTGGAGAATGTCCGTTTTGCCTGCTGATCCCTCCTTTTCTCCTGTGTACCTCTCTCCCTGTTCTGACTACAGGTATGTATTCTACCTGGCGCGTTGGGTGAGAAACCCTAGTTGGAGGTTGCCCTGATTCCCACATGTTCTTGGTTCCTATAACATATGATGTGTCATTCCTAAAATAAGCCCTTCAGCAAATGGCTATTTATTCTGGAATAACACTTGGGCTTCTTTTCCCCCTCTCCATATATATTTTTTCCTAAGCACCCTCCATCATATCTAAAATTACACTTCCATTTGATATTTATTCTCCCAATAAATCCCCAATCAATATGAGATTTATTTTCCCATGATAACAGCTGCTCTTCTTATCTCGTAGCCTTACTACAAGAAGGCCCCCATATGTTAATTAAGCAACAATATTTATCTTCCCACTGATACAACTTTCCTATTCCTATTTTTTCCTCTGTAATACAATGTGTATGTATTTTTTCTTCCACTTGTCTGAGTATTGATACACAAGGCGCCAATGCACATAACACACAGATGCTGCCTGCTGTGCAGATTTATCTAAACACCTGCTGACTGTATATTTACTCAAATCATTCACCTGTGGCAGAAATAATCACTTATCAACTTTCTTCATGCTTTAGTTGGAATAGGTAAATAATCAGCGAGAACACTGAGCGTTGTTTATGTAGCTCTAATCTAAGCTCCTGTAGGCGAGTGCTAAACTGTCAAATATATCTTCACCCAAAGCCTTGAGAAATGACGTAACGATAAGTGTTTATAATAAATTAATATCCAGGTGCTGATCCTCCCTCCTTTTTCATTTTCTATCTCTCAGGTCAGTTCTTCGAAAGATAAACAGTCACAACTGGTACACTTTCATCTTACCATTGGCATTCCAACAGTCTAGGTATATATATGTATATATGTTGGTAATTTCTCCTTTTTTCCCAGAAGTGTTCAAGTGCTAGTTTAGGGTCAGGTGTTACCCATGATATCTATACCACCACAGTTTGCTGAATAAATCTATCTTCTTCTGCAAGACAAATCTGTTAATATTTCATCTCTTTTCAAGTTATTACTGCATTAATCAAATCAGAAAAAAAGTTTGTTGCATGTACCACTTCTTCATGCTATATAATGTTGCAAGTCTAAAAGCTAAGACTTCTCCCACAGGCACAGTGTTGATATTGGAATCTATGTATTCAACACCTGATTCCTAACTGGTACATGAAATCCATTTATACTTCACCTGAATTGCTTTCAGGGTAAACTTCACACTGAGGTACAATGTTTTAGTTTGTATCCTTTCTGGGTGAGATACAATGTTTTAGTTTTTTATCTTTTCTGGTGTCTGATGCAAAGTTTTAGCTTGTATCTTTTCTGGGTTTGACACAATGCTCTATTTGTATCCTCTCTAGTTCTGATGCACTGTTTAAGGGCAAAGCTGCTATAACATGAATTTCCTTATGAAAAATCCCAGGTTTTAAACATCCAATTATCACTGTTTTTTTCTCTTTCCTTGGTGGTCAATTCTTAGAATAAATCTGCAAAAAGGCGATAACTATCTAAAAGTTGCCCTGAAGCCAGATTTATATCAAAAGTTACCACAAATACCCTGTCCCGATGATGATTCTCAACCTTTAAGCATAAATTGCCTTTGAATTTGAGTACCTGGAGAGCAAAATCTAAGAAAAAAAATCTAATCAGTTCAATGTGCGGCCATCATCGAGTTCACCATTGATTGATAACACATAGAGCAAGGAACAAATTGTAAATAGCATTGCTGTGCTTTTCTTTGGCTTGACTTTGAAGTCTTTTCAGTGAATACAGTTCAATAAAATATTTGCTCAGTCCCAATCTAGAGTGTATTGCTAACTTCAATACGATGTTTCCATTTCCTTAAATGTACATTAAGT